AAAAAAAACAATAATACTAACAATAGAATTGATTTGAGTAAAATAATGAAATAATATTAAAATAATAAATGGAGCAATATTGTTATAAATCAAAATTTCTAAAAGGACACTACTTGGAATCCGCCGATTGTATGGGATCAGACACCTTGTATGAATACGTTAAATTAGATCATTCAAACCATACAATTTGAGGTTATATGTTCAGATCACCATTCTTTTTTTTCAAGAGGAAAGCAGATGTCTATTCTCATTTTGTGTTTGGTCATTCTATTGAGTTACATCTATAAGACCAATCTCCTCGTGGTTTGAGCAGTGGAAATATGATGTATAAACTCAACTATTGCTTTTTTTTGTAGGTGTAATTGCTGTTAATTAAAAAAGGGACCAGAAAAAATATAGTTGTGTCTCTGTGAACATCCGCTCAAGAAAGAACATTTATTGTGCCTCTGTGAACAAACAGACTGATTCAGCTGAGAAGAAGATAGTCCAGTACCCTCTCTTTGATCTCAGCTCTCACACCATGACACAGTTTTAGGATTCTCTGTAAAGCTTGGTAAAACATTTTCAACAAAAACGTAAGACGTGGATACTCTATACCTCGTTCAATGGGAACATATTATTTTGGAAAACAAGTTGGAATTGCTAAACGAAAACGGCGGTACAAATTGGTTATGGTATTTGGAACTTTAACGATGTATCCGTCTCTTTTTGAGTCCCTTTTATAAGGATTAAATGTCATGCTGCCTCGGAGACCCGAAGGTCTGATGTTGAACAGTACTTTTCATTTTGTGGCCCAGTCCTTGGCAACCTATGTCCACTGGGACAGGTTAACAAAGGCTGTCGTCCATACAGATTAAAAGACATTCATCGTCCTTCGTAAAATAGTGTGTCATATTGTAACTTTTGACAATCCCCCACTCCATTCCACCCCGCCCCATATCCTTGCTTCCAATTCCAAAGACTGATTTTTCCCTCTATTTTTCTCTTTCAAAAAATGTTTCACTCTATTTGAGTCTCTCTGTCCTTCCGAGTGGTTTAGTGTGGTTTGCTCCTTCATTTCTGTCAGTGGTCCTTATCTCCCCATCTGCTTTTCCTCATAATGCTGCTTTCAGGTACCTCCTCTAATCTTTAGTACTTTTATTATATGACTTTTTGCCTGAAAACTTTTACTAAAGTCTAAAAACAGGTCTCCCTTTCTCTCTCTCTCTCTCTCTCTCTCTCTCTCTCTCTCTCTCTCTCTCTCTCTGTAGGACAGTAGAACCCGCTCTAACGTTCACCTGCCTAAGACAAGGAGGTGAGGGGTGGGGGTAGAAAGTGGAGACGAACGCAGACGCCAGAATATGACTAGAGAGCAGGAAAGGAAGTGAAAGGAGACAATTATAGAGAAGAACATTTTTCCGTCGCTACCTGGATTCGAACCCGTGACCTTTGAATGAAAGGCGAAAACTTTAACCTCTAGGCCACGAGAGTTCCCATAGTCTTTTCTGTTGAATGAGTTTCTGAAGCTCTATTTTATTAAAAGGAGATATATACGACAGCATTGTCTGTTGAATGAGATTTTTAAATTGTCTGTACAAATGTTGGTCTCAGAAATGAAGGGGTTGATGATGTTTTGTTTTGTTTTCCAGGTCAATCATGAGCGTGTATAAACCCAAAGTATAAAAAAGGTTGTATACAAGTTACGTTAATGATATTTTGTTTTGTTTTTTCCCAGGTCAATCATGAGCGTGGATGAGCTGGCGTCTCTACTGCAGTCACACCCAAAGCTTGCCCGCGCCTTAGTGAAAAAGTTCGTGGATATCAACGGTCAGTAGCCACTTTCCTTGTCCAGTTCTCCACCTCATGTTCTGTATAATAATATATTTGGCTTTGGAACCATATTGATGAACAATGATTTCGTTTACATATTAACTGGGCCTCGAATCCCCAAACCCGCCATCTCATGATTTTGAACCCCGGTAGCTTAATCACTATTGAATACCGAGATCATGGGATGAGTTTAGTGCTCTATAAGAGAGAATGTAGATATTGAGCTTGTTTTTGTTTTAGTAAGAGTATCACGGCACTTGCAACACAATAAAGTCTGATAAGTGCCGAAGATTAGACTAGAGGTATTACAAGAGAGTAACAAACACAAAACAGAAGGAGGGGAGATCAGGACAATAGTTGTGTGGCGATAGGAAAGAAGGAGCAAACCACACCAGAACACCCACCAACCACCCACGTTTTGCATATATTATGGGGATGATTTCCTTTCGTTATCGCCGTGGACAAAAATTATATTATAAAAAGTTGACCAGTCACGAGCAAACACGGAAATAGTATCACAATCTCTAGAGAAAATACACAAGTATCGAGTCATGACCACTCGCCACCGATCTGAGAACAACAATTACTAGTACATTAATTGTATCAGTCTCATTTTCCTGACCACGACCAGCCACAGACGTCCGAAGCTTAGAGCATGATTCTAAGATCGTTATCAGTCGCCAAGTAGTAAGTTATAAGGGTAGGCTCAAATTTTGTATATGGAAATGATTGCCTTACTTTATCGTAGTGGACTAAAATTGTTAGGCATCGTGGTGAAATGAGGCGCCCGTCAAAATAATGAAATTGAAGGAACTGGCAATTTTTCCTCCTGTTGGGCACTTTTCATCAATTGTTGTTTTTGTTTTTTTTGTTTTTTTGTTTTTGTAGTTGTTCTTTCTTCTTTTTTGGCTCAGCACCATAATTTATGTCCTATAAAAACACACTTATGGGAACTTTACTGAAAACGTTGATAAATGGAACAAAATATTATGTCGATTTTCAGTTTTCAAGGACTCTCAAGCTACAGTTACTGTAGTTACAAAAGTTTGGCAACCATTTTCTAGATAATTTTACCCCTAAAACCATGCTACCTCTACCTCCTTGAATTGCGAAAATGTCGACTTCTATTGAAAGTACGGCAAATGAATAAGCATTTAGATGATACCAATAACTCCATATGAACAAAAATTGACGACCACCTGACTCTACCACGCCGTGACTCAATTATGAAAAGTTGACCAGTCACGAGCAAGCACAGAAATAGTACCACAGTCTCTGCGGAGAAAAACAAAAGTATCGAGTCATGACTACTCCCCACCACACTCAAGAAAAAATTACTAGTATCAGTCTCATTATCTTGACCGCAAGCAGCCCCAGACGTTCCAAGCTTCGAGCAGGATTCTGAGATCGTTATCAATGGCCATATTATTATAGTAAATTATAAGCGTAGGCGCCAAGCCCTGAGCAAGGAAATTAATTTATTATAATATGAACAGAAAGAACACGTTGTCAAACAAAACAAAGTGGTTTCTCCCTTTCCCCGCCTTTTCTGCTATCTTTCTATCCTCCTTTTCTCCTACTGAGGTTCGCTCCTGGCAACTTGGTAGCATATTAAACAGACTGACTGCCTTTTTCACCAACAAGGAAAGAAATGGGTTTTTAGGGGGGGGGGCGGAGGGCGGAGACGTAGAGCGGTGGGGCAGGTTTGATGTTATTCACACACAGCATGTTAGTGTCTGCATAATAACTGTGGGTGGTTGGCGGATGCTCTGGTTTTGTCTGCTCCTTTCCTATCAACCATCTATCGTCCTAATCTCTCCTCCTTCTTGTTTGTGTTTTTTACTCTCTTGAAACACATCTAATCTTCGGCACTAATATGTCCTTATTGTGTTGCAAGTGCCGTAAAACGTTTTCTAAAACAAAAAAGGCACAATATCTATAGTATCTCTAAGGCAGCATTAAACTCATCATAAGGTTTCGGTAATCTGCTGATTAAGCTACCCGGCTCGTAAGCCGGAGGTGACGGGTTTGAGGATTAGATGCCCAGTTAATATGTAAATGAAATCATTGTTATTAATATGGAATCAAATATATGAAAGTAGAAATAGCTTAAGGGTGTGTGTTAGTGTGTGTGTGTCTGTATGTGTGTGTGTGGGGGGGGGGGGGGGCTACACCCCTAAAGTCCCGATTCGGCTCAAATAATGGAGTTTTAGTTGTAAGCATTTTTAGCTTCCTCAGCCTCTCCTACAACTATTTCATCGCATAAGAACCCCTAAAATCCTTATTTCTTCCCATACCAGGCATGTTTATCACCGTCTTTTCCTCATAAAGTCAATATTTTGTAAAAATTTTTATCGGCTGTTTTCTCAAAACGCGATTTTTCTCTATACTTTTTAAAAATTACTCCACCTTTTTTCATCCAATCTTCATGAAATTTTCACAGAAAGAAGAGAATATGTAATACTAAAATGTATCAGTTGAATTTTTTAAATAGGGATTAAATTTTTCGTAGGGGTGTCTGGAGATTTGATTTTCACCTTTTTTTTTTTTTGCAAACTTGAATACTACCTCATGAAAAAATTCTTTAAAACATTTTTGATTTGTTTACGAAAAAATCTACTGAAAACTTTTTAGATCAAATGTGTGTTAATATGCATGCAAAAAATAATCAATTTCCATGAACGATAAGTGCAGTATTTATTACGTAAGAAATGTCAACAAAATCCAATATGGCCGCCGTATCCATGGAAACGAAACGTTTTTCTCAAATTGGATTTCGGATATTAAGACTCCTTACTATGCTTGAAATATGTTAAAATTTGGCGGGCTAATAAGCGTGTGCCTTCAGGTGTAGCATCCCCCCCCCCCCCTTTAACCGAAGAAAAAAAAAACAGAAGGAAATAAAGAAAGAAGAAAGAAAGAAACGTACATACACTGTAAGCTAAATCAATGGAGAAAGTCAGTAGCAGGAAATGACCTATAAACGATCATTGATGGAAAGGGTATGAAAGCTTTTGGAAAAGAGAGAGGAAGAGCAAGTGACAGACAGATAAATAGATAGAGAGTGAATGAGTGAGAGAGAGAGAGAGAGAGAGAGAGAGAGAGAGAGAGAGAGAGAGAGAGAGAGAGAGAGAGAGAGAGGGAGAGGGAGAGAGAGGGGGGCAAACAATGAAAGACAGATGAACAGAGAGACAGAGGGGGAGAGGCAAACAGAGTCAGAGAGAGAAAGAGACAGAGGGAGAGGGAGAGATAAATGAAAGAGGTAGATGAAAAAGACTCAATGAAAACACGGGGAGAGATATGGAGAAATAGAAAAAGAGATAGGAAAGAGAGAAGCAGAGAAACAGAGAGGATGAGAAATAAAAATATAGAAGAAGAAAGGGTGAGAGAGAGAGAGAGAGAGAGAGAGAGAGAGAGAGAGAGAGAGAGAGAGAGAGAGAGAGAGAGAGAGCGAAGGGGGGGGAGGTGAGAGAGAGAGAGCGAGAGGGGGAGGAGAGGGTGGTGGCAAATAAAAATGTGTGAAAGGGAAACAATGGCAGAGGGGGGAAACAGTAAGTGAGGGAGAAGGAAAGAGAAAAATACTTAAGAGAGAGAAAAAGGTGGAGGAGAGAGAAAGAGTGAGAAAGGGAGATAAAGAGAAAAAAGTGAAAGAAAGAGATAAAGAGAGATAGAGCTAGAGAGATAGATGGAGAGGGGGGGAGAGCAAGAGAGAGATAGAAAGGGAGAGATAGAAAGAGAGTGAGAGAGATTTCAATCTAAATTTTCCCTATTCGCCGATCCACGCGGAACAACCTATCTCGAAAAACTCTGAGAAAGATGGTGGTCCCTCCTTTCTCCGTGCGAGACAAAGAGCTCCAAACATTTTCTTAAAGTACCCCCCCACAATTTAAAATGAAATTTGATCTCCTGTAGATTTATCTTTTAAACTCCTAGTCGTGAAAGTGACTCTGCCAATTCCAACAGTCCGAAAATAAGGTGACTATGGGGATAGACTTGATCAAAGTCTAGTAAATTAACAATCTATGTATGTAAAGCAGAGTTATTGTTGTAAGTGATGTTATTCTTTTTATGACATATGATATGAGAGCAAGCTTTAAATATTGCTTATAAAAAAATGGTTTTCGTGGTGTATCATTTTAAT